AGTGAAGCTGTTATCTGGCAGAAGCTTCAGATTCTGCCTGATGCAATGATGAATGATGAAGCAATTGAGAGGGTTCACCATCTGGCAGACATTTGCATAGTTTGAGACATCTAATACTTGATCATGTTTAGATAAGTATTCTAGAAATTAGAAAAAAGACTGTAATGACAAGATATATAAATACTGTAGTTCTTCTTTCTTGTTGTTGAAACGCAGATGCTGGTTGTAAATCTGAGGTTCCACATGATGCTGTATGCCAAATAAAATGTTGTTATAACTTGCTTCCCACTGTTCAAATAGGATTTGTGCACATCTTGAGTGATTCTTAAGAGTCTAGCTATTTCCTGCTTGCTGTTTTCCTGTAAATCCCTGGGCAGAAGAGGGCTTTAGAAAAGTGGTGATGACACATTGGTACCCTGTTCTTGTACTAGTATCTCCTGCTCGTTTCCGAGATAAAACACTGTAATGAAATGTTTTACCTAGACTGTTGTAGACTTTAATTCCAGATGTCTGGGGAATAAGAAATAATTAAATATTATTATTAATTATTATTAATTCTAACTAGAACCAGTTTGTACTTCAAGTTTTAAAGTGTATGCAGTCAGTGTAAATGAAAAAAAAAGACAAATTAGTTTTTTGTCACATGTTTTCAGACTTAATACATTTTGTGAATGTGTGTGCGCTGAATGGTTGCCAGACAGTTTATTTTAATTATTCATTTGTCTTTGTTGGCTGACCTCTGCATCCACAATGATTCACTAATGCTGGATCTAGTTGCTTATATTTTTACTTCCCTTTGCTGATAGAAGGAGCACACTACATTTCTGACATAACTTAGGCCTTGTAAAATGAACCAGTGTAGTTATTAATGGATTTCATCAGCTAATCTAGTGGCTTTAGAAAATGCCAGCACGTATTGAATACATTGCAGGCTTTACTGTCTACTTTGTATGCTTTTATATTCAGATTTAACTGTGAATCAGTGTGTTTTGAGTTGAATGTACAACAGGAAGAATATAGTTATGAATAATTTCAGCACTGTTTTTATATGCAAGTGCATGTATATTTTTGTATGAGGATTTTATATGAAGATCTAGGCTTTGGCCACCCATATGGAGATAGGCAAGTAAGGGAAGGCACAGGGAGTGACAATTCTGCAATTTTACAGTAAATACAAAATACAGTTTTATTGGTTGAGCTTGTGAGTTTTACACTTGATAGCATTTATAAAACTGTGTTAACACACTTCATAACATGTCTAATGAATTCCATCAGTTTCAGGAATTTGCTGGGCACAGTAAATTGAAATCTGTTGATTGCAGTGGAAAGCAGAGACTGAGAAGTGTATAATGTGGGACACATGAAACCCTTGTCATCTGTTCAGCAGAGCCGCAGCTTCAGATATTTTTACAGTTGTCTGTAGATCAGCAGCTCTACCATCATGGTTTTCACTTGCTATTTCATGAGGTTTTACATACTTGTACACTAGACATAATAGACTAAAAGAAAAGTTTAGGGTGCATTTAGACATCCTAGCAAACATGATCTAAACTGAAGCTTCTTATGAGACGTGTGGTCCCTACCGGGCATTCCTAATATTTTCTTTTCATGGAATATAGTGATCATGTGACCACAAGGTGAGTCAGTTTGTTTGGATGAGAAGAATAGTTTTGTGACAAATCAACCAGCTGAATTAACTCTGTGGACTCATGATCTCTAGATGAGTGAGATGGGGGGAATGGGAACAAAAGGTGAAGAGTGAGGGAAGGAGCAAGTCTGCCAGCTTTGGTGGCAGTTACCTGCTAGATTGACGTAGCTGAAATACCAAATTACATTTGCAAATTGCAGAATCTTGTAAATCACCTTAAGCAGCGTTTTCCTCCCTTCCCCATGCTGGTCATTTTCTCCCTTGTGCTGTTGTAGCACATGTTAGTACAACCATACTATGAACTGGACTGGGAAGATGTTCTAGCTGTGAAGTAACTTGAGTAAAAGATTCTTGAGATGGATCAGTTCCCTATCACATTGCGGTGGTCGCAACAGGATGGGAACAGCTGGACATGCAGTGGGAGCTTCTTAAGCAGATATTATTCTTGATGAGTTGGATTTCAAACAGGCACGGACAGATAGAGAAGACAGAAATGGGCAGGCATATAGCCTCAGGGGTTGAGGAGAGAGGTGACCGATGCTGGGGAAGATTTGAGATAGTTTTGTAGAGAAAAGAAAAAGGTCTGAGAGAAGCTGTTTGGGGAGGACACGTGTGGAAGAGCTTTGGCATAAGAGATGAGAAAATCATGTGGAAGAAAGACCACTTGTAGCCTCTGAAGGAGCTTTGTGGACACTGTATGATGTAAATGGACTTCTGGTTTTAGCAAAAAAATTTTTTACTAAAAAAATTCAAGTTAACATGCATGGTCAGTTTTGTGATCTCAAAATCATTTTATGATGTTAAAGTTGCATAATAATGTTGTCTTTTTGCCTAGTAGTGTGATGTTTTGTAAGAATTTCATTTGGCATAATTAGAGGTATAATATTTGCAGTAACAATCCAGTCCATTAATTTTTGTTCTGGCTTAGCAATATTACAGGGAGTACATTTATGACTATATTTAGGTGGCTTTTATTTTCATTTGACTGTCTGGAAATCTTTGTTCTGAAACGGGAAAAATAAATCAGTAGATTGAGACATTTTGATAGATCACAGAATTCCTTAAAACTCAGTACTGAAGAGCATTACTAACACATATTTTATACCTTTTACAAAGAATTATTGTTATTGATATAGAAAGAAAGAAACTTCAGAGATCAAGAGGAAAAAAAGCAGCTTCTCCTTCCTAGATCATCTTTCTCCTTTGGTCAGCATCATCATATGTAGGTTTGGACTGAAAGGCATGGAAGGTTGCCAGAAGAAATAAGATGGGATCATTTCTAGATGGATTGCTTGCAGTTTTTGTCAAGTGTGTAGTGGCAAAAAGTTATGTAAGCTGTTGTCTGGGAATTTGAAGAGGAAGGAGGACAGGGAAGAGGAAAAGGAAAACAGGAAATGGTAGAAGAAAATTGCTTAAGTACTTTCCTTTTTCCTGTGCGTATGTGGTGGTGGTGGTTTGTTGGGTTTTTTTAAAATGAAACAGGTAAGATTGAAGAAAGTGGATTAAAATGAATTTAAGGGTACAGTTTAAAGATATAGGGACTACCAGGGAATGTAGATGCAAAGAATTGCTTGAGTGTTGCTTTTCATTGCACATCCTCTACAGTTGTGCTGTTGCAGTATTTCATAGGGTGGTCCGTGAACTGTGTTGGTAACATGACTCTAGTTTTAAAGTCCCATCCCCATCACTCTATCCAACTACTGCTATCTCCCTCTACACAACTTTTCTATGAACTGTAGCTGTTATTTTCCTTTCTGGTGCTAAATCTCTCTCATACAGGATCTGAGTTTCTCATCCTGACTCTCCTCTGGCTGATCTGGCATTTTGTAATGGGTGGAGAATGGGAAACTTGTGGCTCTTTGTTCTATCTCCATCACTTTCCTTTGCAACTCTCCCGGTTGTTAAACCAGTAAAATTGAAATCCTGATTGAAGTGTTAAATTGCAATTTTTACCCTCGCTAGCTACTGTCTGAAGAAACAGTGTTGTTCTCTGCCTAGTAAACTTTGAAGCCAGAGATTTGTAGCAAAATGTAACTCTTTGTAAATTTGTCTTTCCCTTTTTGTGACCCCTACCCTACACCAGCAAAATGATACATTTAGTTACCCTTTCACAAGTAATTGTGTGAGAATACAGCATCTCAAATATCCTGTTACCTCCTGAGTGTGTTTCACTTTTTGATTTGTGCCGGACTGCTTTTGGGTGGTTAGTAATCGATAAAAATTAAACCCAACAGTCTAAAATGCATTAAGATAAAATACTTAGTTACTCGAGAAGGGTATCAAAATAGATTTTACACTTGAAATTTCTTTATTGAGCTTTCCTGATTTTTATCCCTTCCATCATTCCTAGGTGTTTTATTAACTATAGATGACTTAATTATTATATTTAGCTGAACCAGTGATTTCATCATTTGCCTCAGTTTTGTGATATTTTTTGCTGCTGAAGTTTCAAAGTTGAGGGTTTTTTTTCTTGTTTATATTGAATTTAGGCTGTTCCGGTAAATTTAGGTCTTAATATAACTTTCTGTATTTTCCATACACTTTAGATTTTTCAATGGTAAATATGATAAATTGAAATTTTAAGAGCATATTTTTTTAATTCACTGTGATTTATCTATGTATGTTTCTTTTATTTTTCTGATTCCTTTGTTGAGCTATCTGTAACCTCATATATTCTGATTCCAAGTTTTACTTCTACCATGCTGTTTGCAGGAAAGAAGCTGAGAATTAATGGCAGTGTAGAAGGGTAGGTTGATATTTTAGCTTAAAGCATACAAGTGGGGGGGGTCAAAAAGATTATTTCTAATATTTCAATCTTTTACCCTAATCTGTCTTCATGCTTTTTCAGTCGTAAACTTGAGGCAAAAATACTGTGTCTTCATGATTTTGTGGTATCAACAGAAAATGTAATGAAAGCAAAAACCACGTAACACCAAAACAATTGTAGTTGTAGTTCTGAATAGGGAAATAATAACTTAAGAAGATAGTGTAGGTTAAAAAATTATTTTAACTTATCTCAGATATGAAAAAATATTGAAAAGACATCTTCTTTTTTCCCTTTGTATTTACCTTGTATGTTCAATTTCAGTGTTACAGCTTCAGTAAAATTAGTTCTCTGCAGTCATGTGGCTTTCCACAGTGAAGTGAGAACAGCTATTAAAATGTGTAAAATGTGACTATAATTTTCCAAAATTGTTAAGTGAGATTTTAAGATGGATTTAAATGTGTATTTTGGAATTCTCTTGGTTTCAGTATAATTAACATACTTTGTGTGGTCATCCTTTTTACACAAAAGAAATTTCTTTGTATATATTTCAATATAAAATATGTATATATATTTCTTTCATTACAGAAAATGAACTTTTTGGATGCCCTATGGGGAGATGCGTCTTTGACATGGAGCAGATGTTTGGTCATCTTCAATCTGAGGCAACAGAATGTGTGCTACATATAACAGAAGAATTAATTGTGGAAAGAGACCAGCTGAATGGCTATATCACAATAAGAAATTGGTCTAAAAATGTTAGTGTTTCATGCCACTAATGTAAGGTTGGGAAAGCCTAGTAACCCAACAGTCAAAAGAATTACTTTTTTGTAAAAGCCAGTTCAAAAAGAACAAGCAGTCAATATATATTTTACTATGTGTTCCCTGCTTATTTAGCACTGAATCTTTTATCACACTGAAATCATGGTGTGAGGATTGGTGGACAGTGTCCCCCGCCCACCATCCCCAGCATACCTCTGGCAACTAAAGACTGTGTCAAGATGACCTCTGAGGAGATGAGAGCGTCTGTTCTCCTCTCTGTGGTACGGGGTAAAGTGATACCTGCTCAGTCAGCTGGAGATGAAAATACTGAAAATGCTTTGGACACCAGTGTTATAAAAAGACATACTGCCAGTTCAGGAAGGCAAACCACACATACTCTGTCATACTTACACAGACTGGAAGAAGAAAGTCTTCAGGGCTCAGTGCCCAAAATATTCTCTCTGGCGAAAGAACAACTGACTAACGACAAGAGTAATGAAAACTTCTGGGATAGGAGTAGCTCCATCCCTGATCCAGTGGAATTTCTTAACATTAACTGTAACATTGTACAGAAAAACTACAAGAGCAATATCCCCTGCAGCCAGTTGTATCAGTCTTGTGATCCTTTAGCAGGGGGAGAGGCATGCCTGGAAACTGGAATTCCTGTTTCACTAGAAAGAGCCATGCTTGCTGAAATTCAGTTGAAAATGAATGGACCTTCATTAAGAAGCCAGACAGCAGTAAATAAGAATGACAGCGGTGATCCTGACAAAGTGGCCTTTTTTCACTTACATTGTGCTGGTGAAAGGAATATATCAAAGGCTTTGTGCAGTTTACACAACAGCTTCATTTTGGATGACTGCTTGCAGCCTGTGAACGTTGGTGATGGTAACACCTCTGGTTCCTCAGGCTGCACTTGCAGCATAGTGGAGTTGACAAATAATTCTGAGAATGCAAATGGGCAGCAGTTGTATGAAGATGCTTTAAGGGACAAGTATTTATGTCTGGAAAGAGCACCACGAAAGGTTAAAGTGGCGTGCTCAGGTCACAACTTCTATGGAAATAACTTTACTGGAAGAATGCCCTCAAAGCCCTTTCTGAGCCATTTTGAAGACTGCAATGATAACTGTGAAGATGAGTTGGAAGAGGATTTTTTTCGAAACAAAAAGGAACGTTCTACTCTATTAATAAGACGTTTCTGTAAAAATGATAAGGAGGTTAAAAAATCAGTTTATACTGGAACGAGAGCAACTGTTAGGACTTCACCTTCAGGGCACATAGGAACTGTTGCTTGGAATTATGTTGAGCAAAGGAGAAACAATGGGGGCTTGAAGCTTTCTAGGATTACAACAGAACAGCTAACTATAATTCAGTCCTTAATAAAATGGAAGTTTAATTCCTGCCTTGAAAAGTCTTTATGGTATGAGGTAAGCTTTTCATAATGTTTTTGTTTGTTTGTTTTGTTTGGGGTTTTTGTTTGGTTTTGTTTCTTTGGTTTTTTTAAGTTTTCATAACCTGATGACCTGTCCATTAAAAAAGCACCTTCAACTAGTAAATACTTCGTAACACTGAACAGGATATTCCACTTAACCACACTGAGCAATCTTATGCTGAACACTGTTTTTTAGAAAAATGTATTGTCATCTTTCAAAATTCTTTAGGTTTAAAACGAGATGGGATAAAAAGAATAATTTTATGTGTATAAACTGTATATGTATATATGTACATGCATATATATCTATATAAAATGTGTATAGGTACATATTTATACATAGATGTATGTATAAATTTAAATCTTGCTAAATATTACTTGTATATAAGAATATAACACACCTATATACAGATTAGAATGTATATGCATTTTTTATATTTATATTTTAAATTGAAAAGGTATATGATATACATTTATATTTTTGCATATCTATAAAATAGATGTATTAATATGTATTATAGATCTACACCATCTACCTGTTAAAATGAATAAGCTCTAGGGAGGGGAAAAGAATCAAGATAAAGGAGAGTGTGGTCAGATAAGCTGTGATTATGAACTGGTCCTGAATAAATGTAAATCCCTTCTGCTGGAAGAAATTTCTAGCAGTTAGTGCTCAAACTCTTCAACAACTTTCACTAGAACTGAAATGGAGGAAAACTTACTTGTATAGATTCATAGAATCATTTAGATTGGAAAAGTTCTGAGATCACTGAATCCTACTGTAAAACTAATCAAATGGATTATATGAAGTTTTGTCAGTGATAAGGGAGGAGGAGACTTGGTTGTTCAGGAACTCCGTGACGGTTTTTCCCGCCTCTAATATCCTCATGTCCTTCTAGAAACTAGTATTTTTTCACTTAAACAGTTGATTGGAGAGTTCTATAAGCATGTTTATGACATGTTTTTGTACCAGGCTGCAAGACTTTGTGGTACTGTTCATTCCTGTGAAGTTTGCTATACCAGTCAGTGGAGATCCAGACTTGCTGGTAGAGCAGATGTCCTGCACGGTGCATGGTCGTGCTCCCACGAAGGGATGAACATGATTCTGTGTGCCTTACATAACATGGTGTATGCTCAGGACACTTGTATCATTATCAGTTTTTGAGGGGGACAGAAGGGAAAATGTTTTGTAGCTGAGGTTGCTGAAGGATGTGTTTAGGTTTCTTCATTGGACATTTCCGATATGACATGAGTTTTTTTAGCTTCTATCACACGTGCTTGTTTCCCCACTCTCCAGTGCTACTGTATAATACTGAACATAACAGCATTTTAGGGTGTGAGGGCTTTAATTTGAACATTTTTTTATAATGCATATATATGCAAACTCGGAAATAAATGTGATAAGTACTCACTGAATAATTATTTAAATAGGAAAAGGTCTGTCTACAAATGAGCAAAGATAAACAGGCACTGTAAAGCACTCTGCATAATTACAACACACAGAATGTTTTCACGTGGTCAGAAAAAGCTTAAAACTACTTTTCTTTCTTCTTCCAGATGGACACTAAAACTATTTTTTTCCTTATCAACCTCTGTATTTAATCTCTTTATGTATAACATACATCAAGTACTCTCTCAACAGGTTTTCTGTTATTTTAGTGCCAAATATTGGTTCTGAAATAATATTTCTATGTGTTTATGGCTTATATTATGAGCATTATAGATGGATTTACACAAACATAGAAATTAACTTAAAAGATGTGACAAATATATGGACCTGTTGAACATATGCACTGGTTAAAATAATTTAATGAATTATGAACATTGGTAGGAAGCTTTCATGCTAATAATCAAAGGAAGAAGGAAAAAGTAGTAAATGAATGTGGTAATTTGTTCTTCCTTTCCCCTTATCTCACCCTTTGAGCATGCATTCTGTTTGGAACAGCTAAGTGAACAGTAGTTCTGTTCTTCAAGAGGAAAAAAAAAGTTGGAGAAATTAAGTTTTCATAGCAGTACTGGTGTAACATGGAACAATAGAGACCTTTATGTTTTTAAGTAGGAAAATGTGGGTCTCATTTGTGCATATCCCTTACATAAAAATTCTAACGCTAATAAAGGAAAGGCACTGAACTGTTGTCTTGCTGAATGATTTTTTCTTTTTTCTTCCCCTACATAGGGAGATGGGAGTGAGGCTTTGCACTATCTAGAAAATACATGAAGTTATAACTTTTTCCATGTAGCATATTATTAGTTTGTAGATATTCTATATGAGATTTAGATTCCTCTGCTCTGCTCTGGATGTGTTGTATGAAGAGAGAAGATTTTTATGTTGAACTTTTTTTCCTATTTTGCACATAGTTTTTGTAGCTATATACAGTGCAGCACTTATCAGATGGGTGTGTGTAGTATGGCTGCTCATGAGACATTTGTTTGTCTGTTGGAACAGTGCAAGCTCCTCACAGGAATACATATTAAAGAAGAGGCAGGTGCAATGAATCTGCCATACAAACAGCTAACGAGAGGGCGAGCTTTGGTGTTGGCTTTGCTTGGGCCATTACTTGGGTTCAGCTCAGCTGCATCATGTTAGCAATCTGACTAATTGCCAAAGTCAGAGTTTCAGGAATCTGTGAGACCTTAGGTTCACAGTGTTGAAGTACACCTCTTCTTTTCCTGATGTGTGGGTGTTTCTGCCATAGTGGTAATGTAATATGACAAAAGGAACCAGGTCCACTGTTGACTAAGAGATTCAATTTGGGCAGCTCACCAGACTATCGCAGGGTGATTCTCTCAAGCCAGGTAAGTGACTTTGAGATGTCCAGATGGCAGCTGCAACAACATAGTTGCAGTGCGTAATAGCTGAATTCTTTAGTTAAGCTTATTTTGTAGGCATCAGTACTATCTTTGCTGTGTCATTACATTCCTGGTGCCCATAATTTGACCCTTAGGAAGCAAGAACTCTGCTGGCTTGCTTCGTTCTGCTCAGATAGAAGTTAGCACTTGAATATATCTGCCACTCTTCATAGTTGCTAAGGCACTGCTGAAATGCCAAATACTAATAAGGCAACAATTAAAAAAGCATTAAATGCCCCACATCTGTTTCCAGACTAATGATTGTATTATAGAGTTTTCTTGTAGGAGTGTTTCATAGTTAATTTAGTGATTTGGTATAGTACTTCAACATTTGTTAGCATCAGGTTGTTTGGGTTTTTTCTATGTAATGTCCATGGTGTTTTTATGATTCCTGTGTAAAATCAATGTAATGCAAGGATTTTTGGTTATGCATGGCTAATGTAAGGAGTCCTGTATTAGGAGTTCTTTATTTCTCTAATGTTGAGGTATAGTATGTTGGTGGTATCTATTAACAAGAAGTTAAGGGGGGAAAAAAGATTTACAGGTAAACAATTTTTAGTATTCCATTTTATTAGTGTGATATCTAAAATAGTCATCTTGGATAATATTTTTAAATAAATAGAGCCAGGCACAAGTTGTTTTCTGTTTAAAAGATAGTATTTGAGTATTCTTTTCTGTTTAAAATTGATTATTAATTCTGAATAAATTCAGAATTAAAATAAATATTTTTTTAATTAATAAAAGCACTAATTTTAATTCTGAACCTACAGAGAGCTCAGTTTCCTCCCCCTGCCGTCCCCCTCCCTGCTAGAGTTGTATGAGCAACTCAAGTCAGTGTATCTTTGCTGCATGCTTTTCTGGCATTTCTGAAAATATAGATAGATTGACTATTTCACTGTCAATCATGGAAATAATGTCTGCTTAGACTGTTTCAAGGAACACGTTACGTCAAATACTAACATGTTTTTGAGCAAAGGAAGGGTTAGTAAAGCTGTATGTCCAGAAGAACATTTTTTTGGTTGTTTTTCTTAGGTGTTGAGTTAATTGTAACCTTAATTTTCAATGTTTTGTTAGAATGAATAGCATAACCTTCTTTTTATCTAGTAATATCTTGGAAGATACACTTTTTCAGTGTATTCAAAGCATAATTTATATAATGAAGAGGCCTATGTTGATCCTTAGGAAATGAAACAAAAGCTTGAAAGCATCCAACTCTCTTTGCTAATAATAATAATAAATAGCATAAGAGTCCTTGTTTATATGCTGTGTTTCACTCAGATGACTGATTTGATTTAGTAGACACAAAGCTTGTGGAGTGTCCACATGAAATCACCTGGCCATAGGAGTCTTATTAGTGAAGTTATTCTGCCAAACTGTGAGATTCACAACCCACAAGCAGCCTAAAAAATTAAATTGTTACTGGCTTTCACTTCTTGGTTCTTTTTAATTGTTTCTGTAGGAATTTCAGGTCTGGGTGTGTTGTCATACCATCTTTTTGTTAGGATTATGTGCTTTTCCCACAGTTTTTCCTTCTCACTACATATTTTAAAAGATGGAATCCTTTAAATAGAGTTTTCCTCTCTTCCCTTAGAGTTCTGCTTGTTTACCTAAAATGTAACACTGCTCTTTATGCTAAAGTTTATGCTGTACTTGTACTTTTATTTAACAAAAAAAAAGGCTAGTTTGTGATTCCATATTGTAGATTACAGGCAGATTTGGGGTTTGAGATTTTTTGGTTTTCCATTCTGAAATAAAATTTCTAGTCCAGCATGCTGAAAGGAAAAAAATGACATAAAGCAAATAATTTGCAAGTGGTTGGCATGTTCCTCCACTTTAACAGTTTTTTTTATCTGACTGTGCATGAGTATTTTGCCAATTACCAGTGTTACTGTGTTTTTTAGACATAAAGGTTTATGTTCTTATGTTAAAGTAGTTGGTAGGTATGGACAAGCTGGTTTTTATTCTACCTGGACCCTGTGTTTGTTGTTTCTTTGTTTAGAGTAAATAGTTCATGAACAAAATTGACTATTTGGAAAAAAAATCAGGGAAGCAAGAGAGAAGCCAAATAGGCATGAAATTATGTTTTCCCTTCAGTAAGTGCTGTAAAAATAAATTGAACTTTTTTAAATGAAGCTCTATACTTAT